TTTCCAGGCATCAGAGCTGAGTGGATTCTCACAGTGATTGTAACCCTTCAACAGGTTTTGCAGATTCCATGCTTCAGCAACAACATGAAGGTGTCTCAAGTTCTGAGACCTTCGGCTCATGATTTCCGAGCGCATTTGGTCGCTTCGGGCCATGTTGAATCGGCTCCAAGGACCCCAGTCGCTGCAAGGCCAACTGTACCAGACATGTTTGGGTCTGGTCCATGCAATCAAGCACAACAAAAGCTGACGATCCCTCAAACGGTTCAAATCATGTCCATGGGCTTGGCCAATTCGGATGGCTTCATGCTTAGACAACAATTCAACAGTCTTACTTAAGGGAGCAACATCGGTGAAAACTTCTATCAAGTCAACCCTTTTTGACAACTTATGTGCTTGAGGACCTAACCACTGTTTCAAATCACGTTCCACTACATCCGGTTCACTAAGAACACGAGAGAGGAGCATTTGGACGCTGGTTTTCTTCAAGGATTGGATGCATGACCTGATGAGATTGGCACTTTCTGGGTTTATCTTATTGGTGTCAGGCTCTACCCAGTCTACTTCTTCATATAGGGCTTCTATGCTTATCCCATCAGATTTATTAGGGTTATCCCCGCCCTCCAAATCACAGTCATTGCAACACCAGCATAAATGTTCCTCAGTGGTTTTTGGAACATGGTCAGCGGTTGGATTCCTATTGGCAAACAAGGCTGGATTGGTCGGTGTGACTCCTTTGCGTTCAGGGCCGGATTCACGCAGGGCCCATGGGCTTTGATGGAATTGGCCATCATTAGAAAGGGTCACAATTGCTCTTAACCAAGTTTCAGTGGCTGCACTATGGGGAATTCTCTCCAAACGGGGTCTATATGCAACATAAGCATGTTTGATCTCATGGCTATCTTCTCCAAAGATTATCTTGAGGCTATCCTTCATTCCAATGAGGTCAACCATACCCTTTTTGGTGTTCTTGGCTATGTGTTGCAAGGCACTACGTTTGTAATTTCTAGTAGGCCGTTTATCCCCATTACCCCTCTTATTCTTAGGACTTATCCCAGCTCCACTTTGGGGGTGATCAACACGTTTGGTGGCAGCACAGTCCTTGACATCGCAGTGACGCTGCTCATTGCGGGGCTTTGCAGTGGCATCGTCGGCATTGGGCTCATTGTCGTGGTAAATCAGGTCTTCATTGGGGACCATAGTACCATTGGAAAATGCAGGCATAGATTCCTCTCATTGAACTTCGGGTTCCCAATCATCAGGTAGATTCCAGAGAGGCATCAACAAATGACCATTGGAGGCTTGACGCAACATCATCTCGCTCAACCCATGCTTTTTGGAGGTCAATGTTTTTCTCCCCAGATTCAATTGGGCTTCCATACCTTCCAGAACTCTTCGGGATAACAAAAATGCAGTTCTTCCGGGAACGACATATGTTGTAATTGTACCCCATAGTTTCCCCAGTTGTACGTGCCAAACCAAACCCTCAATTGTAATTGTGGCTTCACCAGAAAAACCCTTGAGCTCCACTGGAGGCAGTTGTTTCCGTTCCGGCAGAGGCATCTGATGTTCCTGCAAAAACTTCATCAAACGATCCGCACAATCTTGACCAAGAACTGATGTTGTACAACCAGTGTCTATGATGGCATAGCCGTTGGGGATACTTGCTAACAGAATCTCTTCACTCATCACTTCAGTTCCGTTTTCCCCAGATGCTGAAACCATATAGTTGAAGGAAGTTTGCAACACAGTTTCGGTAAGATTTGCTTCTTCTTTTCGATATTTTGTGGATGACTCTGGTTTCCTCTTTCCAGAACCCTTGGCAGAACTCAAACTCTTCTTGTCATACTTGAAGGGCTGTTTGAGAGGCACCTGTGTCGATGCGGCAGATTGGCTGTCACCTGCTGGCTGGTTCAATGCTACCACTGGATAGTATGATTGTTGCCTGCTCTTCTTGATCTCACGAACCTTCTTTTTGGTGTCCTTGTAGTTTCTGAAGGCCTTCCTGAACTTCTCTTTCGATTTCTTGTGCCGTTCAAGAATCTCCTGCGCCTCATCATTTGAATCATCATCAGGCCCTTCGGCCTCCAGGATTTCGTGGTCAGAAGAGTTGCTTGTCACATCATCAGCGTCCATCAAATCAGAAGACTCATCATCATCAGCTACAAGAATTTGATGGCTGTCATGTTGCACCGCATAGGTCTCACGGCGCTGTGGTTTGTGCTGACTTTTGTCATGCGATCTACGGTCTTCCAAGTCAGATGCTTTCATGATTCGCTCCACATCCAGGAATCGAGAAGATCCGTTGGTGGACCTGATGATCTGTGCTCGCTGTTCTCGCGACAATCCATACTTCCTCATATACAAGTGTCCCAGCACACTCTGTGGAAAAATAGGTGTTGGCTTTGTGTGTCCAACTTCCAGAGTACCCAACATTTGTTGCATCTTTTTCTGACTGTAAGCATGATCTTCCTTGAAGGAACCTCTGGCTGATGCCTTCGACTTCTTCGAACCACCTCCATGCAACGTCGATGGAGGCTTTGATCTCACTGGGTCTGTTGCAGCATGTCCAGGCATGGACGGTGGCCTGGCTTCGCTCTCAGGCTTCTCACTGGCCGGTCTCGGCTCTTCTGCAAACGGATCAAAGACTTGTGGCTCACTAGAAGAGGCTCGTTCTGCTTCGGCCTGACGATCATGTTCCTTAGGATCTATGTCTCGGTCAGTTTCTTCAAGGCTGCTTGGCTCATCATCAGGTGACGGAGGTCTTGATGACTTGCCATGTTTTCTCTTGCGTTTCTTCCTATAGTTGCATCTCGTTCCTGTGCTATCAAAGTCTGAACCCTGTCAAGCTGTGTTCGGAACCTAGATGAAAAGGAAGTCGCACCTTCATTTGGTCGGCGCTTGAGCATGAAGAGGAACTCTTCGATTGCATCATGCAATTCAGTTTCTGGCAGATATTTGTAATGGTCATCCAAGGCTCTGATGACCTTCAACCATCCATCGGATTGTCTAAGTGACCCAACGCTCAAATGTTCTGTTGCTCTCCAAGCTTCGCCCAAGAGCCTGGACAAGAGACGTGGCCCAGCTAAATAGGCATGTTTGTTTTCCAACCCAGCTACACTCAGAATCACCTTTCGCCTGAAGTCACGATAACCTGATGGCTGCCCATTGAATTGTAAATCTCTGAAGGCGTCCTTCTGGTCAAGCGCCATGCTTCACACTGAGACAAATGTCTCTCCGGTTGGGACCAATGTCCCCAGGACTGAAAGTCCTCACTGCTGCTTGGAACACAAATTGTTCCCACTGTAGGCACCTGGAGGTACCTCACGGATGCCGGCCCTTTCAGGGTTCCGGCTCCGCTACCATGCAGAAGCGGAAGCTCTGATGGTAGGGAGTTGTACTGATAAGAACAGATACTACACTCACCAGTCAATAGCCGCAAGGCTCACGCACTATTTTCCATCGCACCGCTTCGAATGATTTCAGCCACGAAGTGGCTCAAAGGGCCCCTCAACCATAACGGCATCAGATATGTATACAAGGTTGGACATGTGACCAAGCTGGAAGGTTGGAACCAACATGGGAAAATTCAATGCTCCACCCTCCACCGTGGACTCTGAACTCCTTTCGGAATCTAGTTTTCAATTGGTGGGAGACCTTGCTGAGATCACGAATGAGGATTACCAGCTGGCGGAACAGGTCGCTGAGACTTACAAGAACAATGAGGACGCAACGAGCCTGACCCTCTCGGGCGTGAACCCTGACTCTTTCACGAGGCTCCTCCACTCTACTCCGACTCCAGTGGCACTGATCTCTGACGACCAGGGCAACGTCTTTGCCCTGTTGAACCAGAACACGAGAAAGTTGGCCACCGCAGCCTTTCTCATGCAGCTGGTGCATCTACTATATGACCGAGGAGCACAACTGGCACCGAACCATTGTAAAAGAGATCACAATCAATGGGCTGACGAGCTGACTCACCCGGCGCCAGTAGGTTTCACCCCGGAAAAGCGACTTTCGCTTCAATCAATTTTATTGCTTCCTTTGCAGGATTGGAAAACTCCTTCTCTTTGAAACCGGTCCTTGTGGACCTGAAGGAATGATAGAATCCTGCCCGTCTCCACCCAACCCACCCATGATCCCATGTGGGAGTCCGGTGGGTGCGGCTGCTTTGATGTGGGGTTGTTTTTGATGACACCACCACTGATTTCTCTGCCAAGTTGTGGCAGGTGGTCTAACAGACCACTGGTGACATAGGTCACAGACATAAAGCAGCAGCCGCACAGGCACCATCTTAGCATTGTGTAAAAAAAGGGAGATGGTGCTGCCTTGCTCTTAGCTTTTCGTTGGAACCTTAGTAAGCCTTAGTAGCTTGCCATTTTCGATTGTTACGGGAACACTGAGATATAATCATTTTTAAATATAGATATAAATAAATAAATATATATATACATACATAAATATTTAAATACACATATATATATAATATACATATGTACATATGTACATGTATATATATATATTTATGTATTTCCTTACATATATAAATATAAACGCGTAATCTCATTGTATATATATATGTATTTCTATATTTGTTTACACTATGTATATGCTTACACTCATTTATTTACATAAATATATTTACATATATATATACACATACACATACATAAATATACAAACATAAATACATATTAGTGTATATATATATACATTTACACATACATAGATATACAAACATATATTCATATATACATATATACACATTTAAATAAATATATATATACACATTTTAATAAATAAATAAATATATATATACATATATGTTAATATATATATATATATATACACATATGTATAGACACGCACACACACACATATATATATATACACATGTAAACACACCATATATATCATATACACACATATATATATATATGCATATGTACATATAGAGTGATCTGATGAGGACATTTGAGCAAGGTTTCGGTCGCTGATTGGAGGAGGTGCTGAAGGGCAATGCCCAGATTCCCAAGGTCATCCACCAAATTTGGATCGGCCCCAAGGTGAGATCTGGGCATTTGGGGCTGTTGGATGGGTGTGATTAGTTGTGTTTGTTCTTTACATGTGTGATGATGGTGAACAAATTTCACATCATTCCTATCATGACAAGGATGAATATTGTAATTGAACGGGATGAACATTGGGTCTGTATGGGTTGTATGATTTACGGGGTCATCAAAAATATGGAGCTGGTGGAGGTATTGTCCAAGTCTGGGTGGCTCCTCAGGTTGTCAGACACAGCAACACACGTGATGAGAATTTTAGCACCTTGGTATGTTTATGTAGGGATTTCCTATGAGTTGAACGGATCTTTTGCCAGGAGCCACCATGCCTGTGGATTGATACCTTTCGCGTGGAGTATCTGGCGGCGAATCCTGGCTGGGGCTTTCACCTATGGAGTGATGAAGAGGCTGGATGTATAACAGGATGATCTTTGACACGCATCAGGAGGACATGGACTCCGCGCCTTAAGAATGGGTCCAGTGATTGTCCAATGTGGTACCTTTTTTCCTGACTATATATACATGCTGCAAATGACCAAAGCCTGCTGGTTAGGAGCTCTTACCCTAAAGACCTTTGAGCAAAACCGGACAAGAAGAATGGTAACTTTTGCATCATCTAGATTGTGTGGATGAATATTTCAAATCGTTATGAAGTCGGTCATTCCCACTGTCAACAAGCTGTGCTTGTTGGCAGCAGGGGTGGTTCAATACGCAGACAATGAACAACCTGCCAACAGTAGGGCGCTAGCATTGGGCCGTGAGTACAAAAGCCAACCGTCTAAAGTCACGACCGAATGGCGGCAAAAACAGCATTCAAGCGGAAAGAAAATGAAAAAAAGTCACATCTCTGCGAAATCTCTCAGTCTTCTCTACTTGAGGATAACAGCTGCGTGGGTAGGTTTAAGGGTCTCAGCACCCGTTGAGGTAGCCAAGCTGCCAATGATCAACGAAGAGATCTACAACAAGGCTGGATGTCATGCAGGAATTCCTGTTGTTTTTTTTCTAGTGGGGTGATACATGCCTCTAAACAAGGGTATGTTCCGATTCGGTAGTTCCAACCCACTAGAGCTGATACAGACCCTTGCGGTGCCAATCTCAGGAGAAGATGTGGCAGTGCAAAGCGGATATCCTCCGTTGCCCTGTTGCAGTGGCAGCCGCGCCCAAATGGGTGCATGAAAATTGGGTAGATCCATAAAATGGTTCCTTTTTTTGGGTGCTCTATTTTCAGACGAACCCACATGGCAGATGGCGTTTGGCTTTCGGGATTTTAGATCCTGAAAAGAATGGATCTAACAAATATGATCAGCCTTTAACAAGGAGGGAAAAATGTCCCATTTTGGGGATTTTGGTCAGAGAACCAAATGTGCTGGTTTATATGGATGGCAAAATTAGGCTCGTGCTTTGAGGATTGGAACTTTGTAGCTCCGTCCTCCATTTGGAGACCAACCCATCTCTTTCCCCATTGAACTTCCAAGTTGGATTATGGCCTTAAGAATTGGAACCTGTTAAGATCCAGAATCGCCAAAAGATAGTCCTCAGTCTACTGTATCATCATTTCCCCCATGTCGAAGTGGCTACAGCCAATCATAAACCCGATGGTCAACCCCATCATAAACAATACCTCTTGTTTGGGGTGATGCCATTTGACTCAGGGTTTAACTTTTCCTGCGTTTTGTCTTGCATCCGGTTTTGACACAGGCCAATGTTTTTTGATGGTAAGTTCGATGTTGGTTACCTTGCCGTGATCTGAGTTTCACTGTAATGTTTCCTTCGGCACCACGGGCTTCAAAACAATCCGCATCATTGATGCTACTTTCGAATATAGTGCGCTGCTCCGCGATACTTTTGACAAGGCGGTACATTTTATGACCGTATACTTAGTATCTTTACAAAGAGCCGACTCCGCAAGGGCACACCTTTCGCACCGAGCCCCCCGAAGTTCTTTTCCCGCAGGCGCAGAATCATTTTAAGAAAATCGCAGCGATTTGAGCACCTGGGAGTAGCCGGATTGTCACACATTGGGCCGGGATGGCTGTTGACTTGGCAAGCATTAGATGGAAATGAAAGGTATGTAATAACCATGGGGCGTCGCCCCAGCTCTTCACACCCTGTTGCCCACACCTTACCTTAAAGTGATGCATTGCTATCAATCGCCCGTTTCATCCGACAAAGCTTCCTTGGCCGCCGCATGGAATCTCAATGACAAGAAATGACATTATGTTTTCATTCTTTGACTGTCTATATGAGAACCTTTTTGCCAATGTGCATTACATGGCAAGTTTAGAGGGGTTTGGTCTTCAAAGCGTCTGCTTTGAAACAATTTTTGGTCTTCGAGGCGCCGGCTTTGAAATATCTTTTGGAAGGCTAGGAACCCAAAGAACGGCCTTTTCATGTCTGAAAAACAATGCGCCCATGGTCCTCACTGTCAGGATCGCTTGCCTTCTGCGGCATCTCGGCTGCAATTGGCAAGTCGCTGCCTGACCTTCGGGCGTGGCAGGACGTTGCACGCTGGGTGACAATCCATCGGCTCGCTTTGGCAAAGGAAGTTGGTTGGGCAAGTGGGGTTTTGGGTGTGTTCCTCAAAGCACAAGTCCAAAGTGTGCCCAGCTTCCAACCATTGGACCTTGACCTTGACCCCACGCACGGTATGCATTGCTTTGCACGTCGCTGGGCAGCAAACCGCAGCAAAACCTTCGCCCAAGCCAAAGCGCTTGTCGGCAAGTCGTAGAACCGCAATCAGGAAGCGAATCTGCCAATCTAGGCACATGTTTTGGAGGAGCTGCCCATCAGCTGAGAACAGCCCTTGCCTCAAGGATCCAGGTCTTGACTCAGGGCTTCTTCTTGGACCTTTCTTTAACCTTTTTCACTGTCTGAAACAGGCTCGCATTGCTCATGAGCTGGGTCATACATCTCTTCATCCAAGACTTTGCCCATCAAATGTTATTTACGTGTAGGCATTGCGCTTCAAACTGGACCACGATATGCAGCTGCTACGCGGGTTGCTGCTGGGCCTGAAAAGCATGGGCTGCAACAACGCCAAACTCAACAAAAGATGGCACGGCGTTGAGACCCGGCAGCATCGAAACGGTTTGCGGTTTGCGCCAAAGCAAAACCAGAAACCATGACCAATATTATTCAGGCCTTGCGCGCATCAACGTCACATACGATGGATGAGAGAAAGAGTTTGAGATCTTTACGGCAGAAGCATGGGAGACCTATTTGCAGAACCCTCAAGTTATGTTGGTGCAGGGTGGTGCGAGGACGCATGTTGAGAGATGTCATGGCTGTATGTGAGTTGATGAAGCATGGCATGGTGCAAAAGGACGTATGTGTCTGTCTCCGAGCCCCTGGCTGCAGTTCCCTCCATGTACAGCTGCCGCGCTGTGAATTTCAATCTGGAGACGTAGTCCACCTGTAAGGCATGGTGGCCATGACCCTCAACGCAACAAATTTCATCTTTCGCCGGCAGGGTGCCAGTCAGCTTGGGACTTGACACACGCCGAGGGTATTGAGGCAAGGAGCTGGAGTGACTAAAGGGTTGCCGGCACCGTCAGCAGGAAGAATTAAACTTCGACAAGCTGGCCGGCCGAAATACGGGGTAGAATTTTTGGCAAACTGTCGCAAGCGTCTAGATTCTGTGCATCCCATGTGCTACGAAAGCCATTGACCATGCTGGTGTCAAACGCGTCAAGATCTTCTGGGTTCGCTTTGGGTGTCAAGCAGTTCAGATCCAGAAGAAACTGGGGACGTGAATGTACCGGTGAAGCAAGCACTTTGGATGAACACATTGCCTTGACTAAAGTAAGTTGGACGCGCAAAATCCGAGCAATATTGTTGATGAAGGCTAAGGAATAGATTTGCCCGCTGTTCCAAACACATCTATTGGATGGTTCTATCAATGCTTTTACATCAAAGATTCAACCATAATATCCATACTATTTGCCATCCCCACCAAGGACCCGGCACAATATATGAGGCGCCTCGGACGCAGATCCTTCCGGTGATCTTCCGGTCACGGTCCCTTTCCTTCGAATCTTTTTGCTTCTCGTCCTTCCTCACATGGGCTTTGAAGTTCCCATGCTCTTGCATGCTTTCCACCACTTTGGGAAGGTACAACACCTTCTTCGAAGTATTTCAATAGAATTGGGCGAACAAAGTGAATAGAAAGCCGACACAAATCCTTCACAATTGTGGAAGGTAAAGCATGGCCACCGTTTTCTCCCAACCTGCGTTCGCCGCAGTCAAGCGCGGGTCTCAAGCACCCATCGTGCTGTATCAAAGCTGAAGCCCAAAAAAAACCAAAGGGGCACTTTAACACTTTTAGAAATTTATGTGCCGAATGACAACGCAATTCAATGTCTGACTCAAGTTTTATAGTGCAGGAGAGCCCCCTATCACTGAGCAGAGCTTTCCGCCCAAGTGCCCCCTTGCACTGAGCTGATGCACCTGCGAAAGTTCCCATCCGAGGATTCTCTTCCATCACTGTGCCGAAGTCTCCCCCGCTCTACATGGGTGGCTTTGGTCCCATAAATCGTGTGTTTTCAATGGCTCACTTACGTGGTCGTGGTGTAGAAATCACCTTTTGCTTGCGCAGGACGACCTTGGTTCCTTTCCGACAAACCTGAAATGTATTGTTACCTCAAAACATCGAGTGTGTTCAAAACTTCGTTCTTGCCAACAGTGACTCCCAAGACTATTTTTCCTGATGCGGCAGCAAGTCTCAGCACATTCAAGCCCACAGGTTTTTACCTCCCAAGTTGCTTGGAAGGGCTGCATTGATGCCAACAGAGGTGGCTACACAAAATGAAAAGAATACCCAGAAAAGGGATGAAAAGGGATGAAAAGGGATGAAAAGGGATGAGTGGAGTAAAAATGCCCAAGCCTAATAGTCACCGCGGGCCTTTTGGGCTTCATCGAAGCCTTGCGGTGTCCGTCAGAGGCGTGTAAGCTTGTTGCGGATCTATTCTTTTCAACACCTGCAAGGCATTGTCCCATAGTTAAACAAAGTTGGTTCATAACTCCACCAGTGGTTTATGATACATATCTATAGGAACTGGGGGTTGTAAATGAGTTTAAGCGTGGGGGGCACCACCTTGCGGCTCTCCTCGACCAACAGGAACAAGAGTACGAGATTTCGAACGTTAAATTGTCGTTCTCAAAGCTTTAAGACCGCACATGCAGCATGTCTGCTCCCTCCAAAAACATGGCCTTTGTGCTTCCAAAGCGCCTCCTCCCAAGGGGCACCAAGTGCCACGGCCCGAGGTGTCAGTGGCAGTGGCGAGTAGTTGAAGCCAAAGATCTTCCATTGCATATCGATCTGCGCCGTGAAAGATACCAGCCCAGCGCACCTAGCAATGCCATGGTTGAGTCTCTGTCACCCAAGCTTTCTGTTTCATCGGCTGCCTGCTCTTATTCTTCTTCTTCTTCTTATTCTTCTTCTTCTTCTTTAAAATTAAAATAGATGAGCGAGCTTTCAGCCACACAAGCGAGGAGATGTTATTGGCATGTGTTTGTTTCGTTAAAAAAGGCACACAACAGTCGTGGCCTGCTGTCTCAGCTGTCGTGGAGCAATGACAAAGCATGGGGTCGCCTGCCGCCACGAAAAGTGGCAAGCCTTCATCGGGCAAGGCACAGCCACCTTTGATATAGGCTTCGCCTTCGCTGCTTGCTACAAGATGCTTTCAGCGCAAGTAGAAGGCACGGCCCGGCACGAATCCCTGCCGAATCAAGCTTGCTTTGAAACGGCAAATTTTGAGGGCGAAGCAAAGACCATTGCAGAAGAGCAGTGAGGTCGGAACATGTTTTGACTCTTCACCAATGCCTTGCAGAGAACCGAAGGTCTTCACGAAAGTCCCACAACTTGTTTGGACAAGGCCGTTAGAAACGTTTGCGGGAAGCTGTCCGGGGCATGTCTCGAAAAAAGACAAAACGCTGCGCGAACCTAAAGGTGGTCTGAAAGGTCACGGCCTCTTAACCTTATTTCATGTCGTCCTGCTTTTTCTCCACATCCCCATCCTCCACCTCCGATGCCTTGTCATTCTTGCCTTGCCATAGTCGACCAGCAGGCTCCTGCTGCTGCTGCTGCTGCTGCTATATAGCAAGCTGGCTGGGTCTAGAATATTTACGCGAGCGTGGCAGGTCTCGGGGCTGCCCAGACCAAGATGCACCACAGACAATGCGAAACGAAATCTCAGATGTACAAGTATATGCCAGATGAAAAGAAATGTCAAACAAAATTTCACAAGAAGTGGCTCATAGAATGCCAGAATACACGTCACGCAGAACCTGAGTAGTCTTTTGTCAATCAGAATTTGGGCTGAGTGTTTGAATCTACCTAAGACCGCATGCTTGAATTTATATCAATGAAAACGTCAAAGCATAATTAGAGAACCTAAGGTAGGTACCAAGTCAGAAAATGTGTCAGAAAAATGACAAACTATATGTCAGAATGTCTGTCAGGATATATGTGTGATTGAAACGTCACCGCGGGGATTGCGCGAACCAATGTATTTTTTGGGAATGCTTATTTCCAGGGGTGCTCTCAACCATTGTGTAGACTCTCAGGGTCCTAAGACATGATTTTTCTACGATGTGATTTGGGCAATGGCTAAGAGGTTCTGCTGGAACTGGAACGTCGGAGTGGCCCGCAAATTTGCCGACTGTTGCCGCGCAGAGAATTTGACACCATGCAAGGATTGCATTCATTGATAGTGAAGCGAATAAGGGGCTACAACGTCGCTAATTAGAATGGTGTTCACAGAACTTCGGCTTGAACAAATGACGCTATTGAGATATATGTGAGGGTAAATATGCACATATTCATACGTAAGTGAAAGAAAGATCGGCCACCAGCACAATAAGAAAAAAAGTAAGCATGAGATACAGCTCCGACCCATCAGCAATGGATAAAATTTTGGTGTGATTACTTCGCGTTGTGTGTACTTTGGTCCTACGACAACATGCAAAGATACATGGGTTTAAGTCAACTACGACACCATCAAAAAGTTAAACCCTGATTTGACTCATATGTTCTGGGATTGACACCATCAATCACCAAACACAAACCATGGTATGATGTACCGTTATATTTAATCTATCAAACTAATAGGTTGCTATATGTGTATTTAAATACCACCTAATATCCAATCAATCCCATGGGTATTGAAACAGATATGAGTTGGTATGTCACATCATATGGGTATCTCATGGGGAAAACATTCCCGTCAATATGCCCATTGAGGACTTGAATTCTTGTGGCACCATGGGGGCCTCTATGTGGACGCTGACATGATCTCAGTGGAAACGTCTCATGGCTGTCAAGAGATAACATGTGTACATATCATATATGTATATGTATATCTGTATATGTATATATATAGTTGAATCTACAAACACAGTGGTTGTAACTTAACAACGCAAAATTTGGTTGCTCCCAACAAAATGGAGGTTCTATAGCCCCCACATGAAGAGCGAAATTGTGGTATCAGGCACCAAGTTGGGAGTTTGAACCACTATATAGTAATGGGTTTCAAGAAACCTGGGGATTGAAACCAGCAATAGCTGGGAATCTGTCAAACAATACAAGGATATTGACTAAGAACTAGGGATTGACTATTGACCGTGGCCAACAAAGATGGGAGCGGGTCAGAACAGACCCTGGGGACCACAGATGGACTGATTTTTTTTTTTGTATATGTATCTAATTATATCTAGAATTATATAATATGATATGATATGATATGATATATATATATATATATCATACATGTGTATACATACACATGTTTATATATATATATAATTAATACATATTATCTCCCAAAAGTGAAACCTCTTCCTGGCCGTTGCTAAAAATGCTAGAGCGGCGGCCCATTTTCCATGGCCTCAGGAAACCTTTGGACAAGATTTTGGAGCTCGGCAAAGAAACCGGATGGGTCATTGCCTATGAGCCAGACACCAAGGAGAAGCGGATCATGAATTTATCGACCTGGAAATCTGGTAGTTGATGTTGACGTTGATGTTGATGCTGTTTTTTTCCACCAATCAAACTGTTTCAGCTCACATTCGAGTTTCCTACCACTTGTTTTGCAGGACAAACCCTACTCCATCTTGGGAAACTCCGTGTTCCTTGCCGGGATGTGGCAAATCCGACAGGGTTGCAACACTCTCTGAACAGCTGCATCAGGTTGCATCGTGTAGCCATTGTAGCCACGGTAGCTAAGGATTGCATGCACTCCGCACCATCCACTGACCTTGATGTTGATTCTCTACTTGAAGTGTCTCGGCAGCGGCCATTGATGGCAGCCATTGATGGCAGTCGTGTTGTCGCTTCGACTCGGTGAACCGACTTGGTTTCTGATTTGAGGCAAACCTTCGACCACAAGCGGAATCACATTGATGTTGCTGTCTCAGCGAAGGGTTTTCAGCCAATGAACTTGGATAGATTTGCATACAAAGGGTCCTTGGGAGTTCCATGTTCAATCAGGTGAAGAATCCATCAAGGATAGCATTTCAGGACATCAAGGGAACCATTCTTGCAGTTTGCAAGCACCCTTCAGAACCAATTTCAATTCCTTGTATATCAATTAAATTCTTGGATCATTTACCAAGTTCTCTTGATTATCAGAAGGTCACATGTCACAAGGCAATCCCCTTGCCTGCACACTTACCACCCAACCCTCAGGTTTTTGCAGTGACTGGGCCGGTGATGTACACGAAATGCCTAGTGGACAGTGGCATGCCCATTTCCATCGCGCCACAAGAATGGCTCTACCCTGCTGATTGGCTGCAGTCCAGTTTGAGGTCAACCAACAAAAGCTCCTACTCAACAATGAAATCAGCACACCCTCAGGGCCTTTTCGCTACCCAGGCCTTTCACTATGTGCCGAACCCGGATGCAATTAACTTTGGAGCCTTCCCCAAGTGCTTGATGTGACAGTCTCAGGATTTTGCGCAATATTAAGCATTAAAAGCATTTGCATGACTGCATGACCGTAGCACGGAGAGATGTAGGGAAAAGACATGCAGTTTCCACTGCCACTGCTGATCTGATAGTCTTCGCTGCTTCCAAATGTTTTTCACCAACCTGTTTGATTTCTCCTTCCCATGTGCCTTAATATGGGCAAAGAGGCCAATATCGACAGTTTTTTTTATTTTTAAATGTGTTGCTACTGACATTATTTTGTCCTTTTGCTTCTAATCGGTTTCTGATAGCTTTGGTGGATGAGCATTGAAAGGCTAAGCATCGAGTTTTTGCTCAAACTTTGGGACTGAAGCTGATAGCTGCAGGTTTCAGTTTGGCTACACCTGCTCTGGCTTGGAAGGCTATGTCAAGTCCAAGAATCGATGCAAGAAGGTCAGCTGAGCCTTTTTCGGATCTGGGTGAGGTAGGGATAGGTCAAATTGTTGATCTTCCTAACATTAGATAGTTTAACTTTGACGTCAGAAATTGCATGGATACCCGATACTCCCGATACCCTCCATTTTTGAGCCATTCCCATCATCCACGTCATGAGGAACAGGAAATGGTTGCGGGCTCGAATCCTGCCAGGGCCGTCCATTTGTTTTTTTTCCCTGTCCATTTGATGTCCGCCAACACATTCCGCAGCCGATAGATAATTGTATATATATATATATACATAGTTGTGTGTGTATACATATATATATTGTTGAACTGGTAACGGGCCTTTCAACCAAATCTTCCACCTTGACCACCTGATCAGAAGTCCTTGACCACAAGGATAGATATTGGATTCCCTGTCCAAACTTGTTACACTTCTCGATTTAGTGGCGTCCCTGGCCAACACCCATGAAGCGGCGAACCACGCCCTTTTGCACACACCGTGACCCCCTGAGCCTTCCTGAGCCTATATGGATATGCGACAGCACGGCCAAGGCATCGAAGCATGCATGTTTGGAGATGGATGTCTGGAAAAACACACTCGTCATTTTTTTTTTGAAAGATGTAAAGCATCATTCTCCCAAGAATGGACAAGTCATCTTCCTTCAAGTGTGATTCGGCTAGATTCATCCGGCAATTCATATGGCTATTTTCCACAAGACAGCTTATGAGGATTATTTTTAAGGAAACAACTCATTTCTCCAACGATGATATTTCTCGTGCAAGTTCTTTTATTTAACATCAGTCTAAAAAACTGTTACGATAGGGAATCAGTTTTCTCTGGTTGCTTGGAGTGCTGGTGTTCGATCCAAGTCTTTTTGGATCGTTGGTGGGCACGCGCTTTGAGGATCTCATCCACGTCATGGATTATGCATTGGCCCTTCTCGAGAAACTTTCGGAGATTTGTGCAGTCCATGTTTTTGGTTAAACAGTCGGCCATCTGTGCAGCTGAATGGACCCATTTCACGACAATCCCTTCTTTGATTCGGTCTTTGATGATTAAAGCTTCTAACACGACCCGATGTTCTTGGCACTGAGGTACATTAGTCTTTTGGATCAAGTCGTACAAACTCTTACAATCAACAACCGCATAAGCTTCAGGAGATTGGGCCAAATATTTCTCCGGATTTTTCCATTCCTCTGATGGTTTCAGAAGCCACGACCAATGGATCCTAAGCCAGGACAAAAGGTCGACCGACCCGCTCAGTGCATAAGTTTCGGATGCTAAGGTGCTCCCAACCACTCTGGCAATCTTTCGGGAATACCACAGAAGTGGACCAATCTCGCTGGCTTGCCATTCACCTATGTGTTTGGATGAGGCTAAGATTAAACATCCTTTTTGCGATTGCGAATTGGCACGATTGGCAAAAGAGGCATCAGAAAAAGATACAAACCTGACATCATGGAGGGGAATACTTTTGATGGTGATTTTTGTATGTTTGTGGATTTTTGCTTCTTGAAGTAAGCGGTTGGCATCCCCAAGATCTTTGACTGTGGCACTGTTGATTTTGGCTTGCAACAAACTAAGTTTGGCTGATAAATCTGGTCGTGTATTGGTTGCGGCATATTGCACACTGCCAATGAGGCCTCTCAAAGCCTGTCGTTCGTTTTCTGTCACCTCAGCATCAGGTTCTTGTCGGCGTTTGCGATCTATGTCAATCGCAGGGATGTCTTCTACATATTGTGTTTGGTCAAGTTCTATAGAACCGTCCCATTTTTGCGACAAATGGATCCCCGTGAAAATGAAATCGGTTTCCTTTTTACTTCCAAAAGGGTATTTGCGCTCCAGCTGAGCAATGGCGTTTTCAAACACTTCATCACCGGCCCCCAAACCATCATCAACATGAACCCCAACAATTCCATGTATACCACTACCATCCTTTTTTGGGAGTACAAAGGTGCATGGATCAAGAGGGGACATTTTGAACTGTAGGTTGAGTAAGGCATTCTTGAGTTCCTCATACCAAAGAAGTGGTGCATTCACTAAGCCATAGGCGCTCTTTAGGAGTTCACAGCATTCCCAAGGTTGTAGGTTCATCAACGATCTCATTTCTTTTGGGGGTTCCATGCCTAGAATTCGACCATCTTGGCGACTTCCTCGAAGGAAGGCTGTTTGGATGTCGAAGGAACGGATTTTCCACTTTGCGGAGGCAGCAAACTGTAAAATCAATGTCCGAGAGTCTTTTCCCATAGTTGGAGAATCTCTGGCAAGGGCTTCCAACTGAGGATCTTCATAACCCAAAATAACCAAACGAGCTTTAGCCTTTTGTTGTGGATTGGGGTCTTGAGTTGTTGGATCCACAGGCTTCCAAGTCAGTACCCACCGGGAACGGAGAATCTGTTCTTCTGGAATTTGATTCCGAGCTATTCTCCTAACCGTTTCAGTGGATAACCAGGATTGGATCTCTTTATTCTTGGCACCTTGAAAGAGTTTCATTTCTGATGGAGAAAGGTCTCTCTCCTTGATCTCAGCTCTTTGGCGCTTCGCTGCGGATGCTAGAAAGGCGATTTGCTCTGGCACGTCTTGACGCATGCAGGCTTCAAGTTCTTCCACATTAAGGGCAATCTCAATTTCTTGCCCTGCGATGGCAGTCTCGGTGCATGTATTGATCACTGGAAGTTCGGATAATTGGTTCTCATATTGGGGTTTTATGTGAAAAATTGTTTGTCCAGTCCATAGATTGGGAAGGCTTTGGTGAGCTTGAATGTTTCCATACCATTTGTCTTGGATTTTCCATGAACCTCCATGTACAGCTTCCACATGGGTGACTCGTTGATTGGATAGCCATTCAGGATTTATGGGACACTCCTCTACCAGCATGGGATTAAACAATCGATATCGTGGATTTCGATGTCCTTATGGATTACCCAATCATCTTGGCATGTCATTAAAGCATCGGCACCCTCTGCGTCAGTATCGGGAACAGGGATTTCCCATGGTTGCAGGTTGCTTGTGTCCTCGGGTACCATTTGGCCTTGGCTAGTCTGACTCGCAGCAGGTTCGGAGTCTGGTTGGATATCTTCAGCGTCATGGTCTACATTGGAACCTGCTTCAGCAACTGGAGGGGGAGGCTCTATGATATCTGGCATACTCAGGTTCGGGTTTTGTGGACTATTGGCTTGATTCTGTGTGGTGACTTCAGGTAAGGGGTTATTGTTCGTGGGGTCAGTAGTATTTGGGTCATGTTGTGATGTGAGGTCTTGATATTGAAACACACCAGTTCCAAGTCTCTGAGGCCCTGCGGTCGGGAATCCTTGATCTGAGCTCGGTAAATTGGCTGGGTCGGCTTCACGGCTAGACAGCGACCTAAGATGTTCAGGCGCACATCGATAAAGACGACTCAGGTGCGACAGCCAGACCACATTCGGGTCCTCCCGCATCAAAACTCTGGCCGGGCCATGCCATGATCCCGGGAGATTGCCTTTGCCATCTCGCCAGTACATGACCCATTGTCCAATTTCAAAAGAGTTTCGGGCTGGTCGAGTTCTCTGCAAGAAGGCTCTGCGTAATTTCAGGTCATGGTCGGATTTCACAAAAGCAACTCTGGCATTCTCACGTAAGCTCAAGTTCCTTTGAAACTGAGAAATTTCACTTGATGCTTCAAGCTCTTCCTGCAAATAGTCCGAGGGCCCAAACTCGTCGCTGGACACAGTGGCAGGTTGGTGACGGGATTTTCCCAACACAAGTATTTCAGGACTGTAGCCTCGACATCTCGAAAGACTATTCTTGGCGGCCGTACATTGGCACAAGGCTTGTTCAAGTTCTTCTCGGCAGGTTATGGGGTGGTTGACTTGGAGCTTATTCAGCATGTCTTGTAGTATGGCTCCATGTCGCTCACATTTGCCGAGTTGCCAATGAGCTTCGGTTGGTACTACAGTGCTTTGAATGTCAAAAGACTGCAGGAACTTGGCAAATTCTTCACTGCAAAACTCCCCGGCACTGTCGGACATCAACTGCTTCGGAGGTCCGGCCCAACTAAACCAATATGTCTGCATTTGGCTTGCTACTTCCTTGGAAGTTCTGGATTCACAGGTGAAAGCTATTTGAAAGTTGGTGCCAGAATCGATCATGTGGTAGAACGTATAGCCTACTCCCTGGGTTGATGTCCATGTGACTGCATCAATGGAAACGAGATCATTGAAGGCTCGGGGCAACGTCAAGTGGCTTGGCCTAGCAATTTTCGGGCGTTGTTGCTCAAAACAAGATGGACAATGAAAGTCTTTGACACCCTCGATAGCCTCGCTCGGCCAGCCTTGATCTCGCAGCACGTTCCCTAGGATTTGGGCGTCAGGGTGGCCCAAGTTATGGTGCATTCGTGCAAGTTGCTGTCTCTGTTGGACATCAAGCTTTCGGAACTTGGGACCATGATCAGCTCCCTGCAGGCTTTTCGGCATAGAGGCATCCACACTGGGTTCGATTGCATGAGGAGCTTGTGTGGCAGGCTCAAGGCTTAACTTCTTTGGGTTATCAGGACAATGTCTTTTGGCTACGGGTTCCTCTGATGATTCTACCCTGGTTGATGATGATGAGGTTGAGGTTTCTCCGGATGGACTCATGGCGTCAGGCATATGATCGGCTTGTGGCATACCAAACAGAGTAACCAACAATCGAGCTGGTGGCCCCTTTCTATGGATATCTTTTCGGGTCAGTTTGGTCTAGTTTTCCCAAACCTCATCTGAAAAATTGCCATCTTGATTTCGGTGGATTCCCATGGTCATGCGATGTGTGGCATTTTGTCTAGTGATCCCGTCACATGGAGGTCTGTACCGATCAGCACCCTTGCAAGCTTCTATAGCCTTCACTTGAATACCAGGAAAGAGGCTTTGGGCTTGTTCCAAAATGGGGCCCTCACGAAAAACACGCTTTCCTACTTTGGGAGCCTGTTCCAGTGTCAACTGCAAGAAGCTGTTTCGTTTCTGCTCATGTTCTTGTCGCTGATAAAACGGTGGAGGAT